AACAAATCAAACAGGGCCATCATCAGATGTTCCGAAATTCTCTGAAATCTACAAATGGCTTCACCACATTCAGTAACAACTACTAGAGACCACTCAGCAAATATCCCCTACCCCATTTGAAACCTCCTACCTAGGTTCCCTCTTCCACCCCCAACATACCTGTTTTAATCCTTGGCACTCTCTTCGGTCCTGTTCTTGGCCTTAGACGTGTCCGGTTCCCAGACTTCTGTTGCATATCAGCTAACCTCTCACTGTAAGTCTTTAAGACTCTTGGTGAAGTGTTGTCTACAGGTTTAGATGCACCTGGTATTCTTTCAGTGCCTTTGTCAAGGAAAAATGTGCAGAATTTAAATCATGAAACTGAAAACTTCCACATTAAATATATTAAAAAAACAGAAAGTATAAAAAAGTACAAAAAATATCTTGCAACAAGATACTATATACTCTGATTGAGTATTAGAAACCATGACAACACAAATGACATAGAACAAACAAATCAAATACAAATCCACTTAGTCACATCAACAACTGCTACTCCTACAAAGTTACCAATAATTCAGTGTCAATGTAGGTGTTCACTGAATTTGTTTCTCATTTTTTGTTGAGAATATGAAAGAGGCTTTTAACCAAGATGTAAAATCTTACAGCAAGCCTCACAAAATACAAGAAAATCACGATTGAAAAACAGCCCAAAATGTTAGGAAAATGTCGAAGGTGGAGTTGGACAATATTTCAGTCATATATCTAGATTTGAGATCTGAATATTTCCTCAGCCATAGAAGTAAACTAAATAATTATAAAAAACAAAAATCACAGCTTACCATACAATCGTTGTTTTGCCTTAAGACTTTGTGATGAAGCTTTCCTTCCACCTGACTCTCCCTTCATCTCCTGTAGCATCTCAGTGTAAGTCTTCTGTCTCCTTGTTGACCCTCGCTGCTTCCTGGTGACCTCTGGCCTTTGAACCCTGACCACCTGATCAAATGGTTTAGGTCTATAGACCTTTGCTGGTTCAGTCTTGCTTCCGTATTCCATTAAATCTCTGTCTTCCCCACTGATTTCTGAAATTCCATCTAGCATCATCAGATTACCTGAGTCTTTCAGTCCTTGACCAAGCCTATCAAATTTCTCCTTCCGTGGAATCGGACCTCTTGAACCAAGCTCCTCGGATTGCAATCTTACAGTCCAACTACCTTCCAACTCTCCATGTTCCCTCTCCAGGCTATAGCCAAGCTCTCCACCTCTAGAAATTCTTGAATCCACCCTTTCATTACTTGCTCCCTGCCTCCAAGCCTCAGACCTTCCCTTATACGCCCCACTGTCAATAAACAAGTACGTCCCCTTGTGCATCTGACTGCTTGGCAGTCTTTCAGATCTTAACGTCATCTCTGAGGTATCCATCCTACTTGATGCTCCAGTTTCCCTGGATGATTTGCCTTTCCTCTTAGTGACAGATAGAGAAGCCTCCTCAGATGGAAGATGTGGTTTCTCAATGAACATCTCTGCCATGAGAGCCTTAGCTAACTGCACTCTCTCACTGTGACTTGCTTCCATCATATCTCTGTCATCAAACAGATTAAATAAATAGAAGATCTGACCAAAGTCACACACTTTAATGAGTTAGTTCAATGAATTAGTTTTGATGAGTTAAAATGTAAGAAGCAAAGATAGTAATAAGCAATAACAGTTCAGACACTGCAGTTGAAAAATCTAAGGTTACATAATGAAACTGTTGTCCTACTTCTTCTTTCTGTCTCTTTCCTCCTCTTGTTTCCTGATTTCCTTCCATGATGAAGGAGCCTGATGACAAGAACAAACAGGGATGGTATAGCAAAAAGTGATTTAAGTAGATAACTACAGTCAGTGAGGCAATTTCTAAGTTGGCCATTAAGTCAACATGCCTACCACTATCAAACATAACATCGGTGATACTCATATCAATCGATTACTCAAAGTATTCCAAGAGAGATCAACTATTTCAGTAAGGTTTCAAAGGTAAAGAACATAGGTCTTGGTTGAATGTAGTCTTCATTAAGTTTGGATCCAGCTAATATAATCATTCAACTAAAATTCTTTCACCATTTTACTGTGAATCGGTTAGTACATGTGTCCATCTTTACATTTCATTCTCAGTTGTTTTGTCATTATTGCCTCATTCTACTAGCTGGGTTATGTTTTATGTTTCCTCTCAACACAGCACTTTGCTTTCTCCATTTTGGACATGCTTGTTTTTGGTCAGTCTGTTTATCAGTCTTTTCAATTCCCTTACAGTTCTTACCACTGCCTCACTAGCCTTAGGTTGGTAGGGCTTATGTTCCTTCTCAATCAACAGCTCTCGTTGTTTCTTATATTCAGCAAGGTTCTTAGATCGTTGTGTCAATGCCCAGTCTCTCAGTTCCTTTCTTTCTTTCTCGCTTCTCTCAGCTGGTTTCTTCCTCGACAGCCCTCTATCAGCCACATCCTCATCTTGTCTTGGTGTCCGTGGTGTACTGAGAAGTTCTCTGATCTTGTCACTGCTGAGCCATGTGTAGTCTTGCACTTCAGGCTGTTCTGTCAATCTCCTGGATTATGACATTATAGAGATTTCGTAGACATCTTGAAATTCATCCTCTCGCTTCCAAGGGTTCAATCCTGCTTTACTGAGTGCTTACAAGTGACTTGTAGCTCAGACTGCAAATATTTTACAGCTATTAATCACATAACACTGTAGGGACAATTTGTCCTTGCCTGTGTTTGTACTAACAACAGCTGAACACCTAGTAGCAAGACCACTTGCTATTAAACTTATTAACCCTAACACTCCTCAGTCCTCCAACAGGTGAAGGATTGAGGAGGGTTAGGGTTAAAAGGGAAATAAAACTGTACATACAATGAGGCAAGGCGGGAAAAATGGTATTCTGTGTCCTTTATGTTGGAGGTCCTGAAGTATAAAAGGGATCAACTCAAAATGACAGAGTTTCCAGAAAAGTCCTTATCTTTTTGGTTTTTGTTACCTCTTCTGTATTTTCTTTCTTGCTGCTTTTTGTTGTTGAGTCGAGACACCCATCTTTCTTACGTCATTATCATCTCCTTCAGCAATGACCTCAGCAATGATGTCACTCACACCACTGATACCTGAGATACCTAAAGTTAAAGCAGTGTCATCTCCCCTGATAAAGGAAATTAAGGTGTTAAAATGTTATGGTCTACTCAGGTATCAAAAACCTACGCATTCTAAGGGTGGCTATAATGAGCAAGGCAATTACATGTACTTTTCTACTCCAATGTCAGCTATGAGTTCGTTAATGAATACATATGCTTGTCATTACAGTCAGGCAGCAAGGCCTGACATTTCAATCCGAACAAGATATTTTTAGTCAGGAATGCCTGATATAGAACTCTTCTAAACTGTTTCAACATTATCCAGGTCTGTTTAATAAGGCCCTGATCATGTTATGAAATTCATATAAGGCAGTCTGAATTTACAAGAAACACTGTAATGCTACCATCAATTTCTTATTAAAGGAGCAATGTCAAAGCATAGTTCTACCTCTCAATCCCTGTTACATTCCCTTCTTCCTCTGTAACCATGGAAACCATTCCAGCCACATTTTGATCGTCTCCATGCTGTTTTTCTGCCTGTCTGGAGTCCTGGCTTCTTGCACTGTCTTCATGTGCTTGAACATCTAGTGCATGAGGACAATCTACCTCGCTGTGGTCTGATAACTGGTAGCCTTTCAGTGAGTAATCTGCCTTTGGTCTGGTGTCACTAGGCACCATGGCATCAGCTAGGTTCTCCACTGTATGCAACATCTAATTTTAGGGTGTAACATTCAAAGTATTATTTGAGATGAGTGGTTTAAGAACAGGCAGGCATGTAGACAACCAGGATTATCATTACCTTCCTTTCGGTTAGTGTCAATTTTACAAATTGAAGTTTAAAAAAATGCTTTTGTTGAAAAGTCTGACACGAAGTCATTTCCAACAGTTCAATCATTTTCTGAATTTTTTACTTTTACAAGAGAGGTCATTTCAGAATATTGCCAAGTGGCTTAACATCATTTAAAAGAGAGATTTTATGAACCAAGGATTCTGTAAAGAACAAATGTAAATTAACAGTAGCTCAGGTGCCAAACCCTAAAACTATGAACTCTCAAAAACAGGTAATCTTTTTTAGTGGTTAGTATCGGAGATGGATCCATACCAGGCTTGTGTTCCTAAAATCTTGCTCAATATTGGCAGCTGATTCTTCAATGGCATTTAATTGCTGATCCATGTGGGCTAATCGTTGACTCAGTCTCTCCTTAGTGGATTGCCGTGTTGATTCACTCCGTGCCTTGTTCTGAGCAACTTGAAGACTAACAATCAAAATCAAAATGGACAGAAATTAAAACCAACAGTAACCATTTACATCTGTCATTTCCAATGAAGGAATCCTCTACTAACATCTCATCATACCAGGTTTCTTTGGTCTTTCTATCAAGAACCCTCAGAGTTACAGCATCAGGTCCTCCAGTCATCTCTGCCTCATCCTCAAACTGAACTTTAGGAGGAGTCTTCTTAGGGTGAGCGTCTTTAAGGAACAATGCATTGTAGTGCAGCTCAGCATTGGTTGGATGGGGGGTTGAGTTATCTTGAGTCTTCTCATCTGGGGGAGGGGCAGCCTGAGCAGGAGGGAGGGATGGAGACTGCTGACGATCTTTAGGAAGTGGTTCTGGAGAAGGTATGTCTCTGAGATCGATATCAACCACACTGATAAAGGAGCGACCCTTGGTTGTCTGTGCCGAATCCTAATAAACAAAAATATTGAGAATAAATGGTCCTAGATTTAAAATCAACAGACAAGTTGAGTTAGAAGTGTGTTCTGCATCAAGTCAGAATTCGGATCAAGTAGGATTCAAAACATTTGTCAGTGAAGATTCCCCAATCACATAGCCCGTCTACCACCAATAAAGAGGCCAAAAAGCCAAACCGATCACTCCAAAGCAAAGTTAGAGGACTATTTGTCCAGCCAACCTATCCCCATCCTTCCAATGAAAACAAAAACAATAGCTTTCCAAGGCTATATTTGCATATCACTATCTTTTAAACTTGGCAGCTGTAGACTAATAAAATAACAGCAATATCTGGAGCACTTTCCCACTACTTGAAGGCAAGAAAAGAAACAGTTCAAGAACAGATAAAAATCAATCAACACACCTTGCCAATCGCCTTATCCTGTATGTCTGGTTGCTTATCAGAGGTGGAGGAACCAAAGCGAAGATTGAAGAAGATATCTGGAGCCAGTATCTGACCAGTATCAGATAGACCAGTAGCTGCTGCTGTGTACTGGGAAGTAGCATCAGTAACTGTAGGTGGATCTATACCAAAGGAGGGGGGGGGTTGGTGTATTTAACATTCATCATTTTGATCTTTCCTTGAAGCTAGTTATTATTCACTACATGTATATCAGCCATACCTGCCTTGGACATTCTCTTTATTAGGAACATTCCTGAATGCACAACAATCCTGTGGCTCATGTAACACTTTGTAGAATACTAAACTGCAACAAGTCACTAACTTCAGGAACGCTTAAGGTTTTGTGAAATATTCCTTCCAAAAAGATGGTAATACAAAACAGTTGACCTAACCACTATGTTACATCAAAATGGAACTGATACCCTTACCTACAACAATGGAGGACTGGCAAAAAGTACATTATCAACAAGAATACATGCATACAGTCTGAAAAGCAAAGCAAAATTTTATAATTTAACCAGGCATTTGCAATACCAATACTTTCACGCAAACCAATAAAAGAAACAATTCACACTGCAGTGAACAGGTTAAAGCCGTACTTACAATGAGGAAAGTCATCCTTTCCCATTGAGGTAGAAGCATTCTTTGTTTGTTTGGTTCCTGTGCTAATACCAGACTTTGGCTTAGTCTGTAATTTTTGGACGGTATCATAGTGAACCTGAGCTGCTGTCGGTAGGACTGATCTAGCATCTCTGTCCAGCAGCATGGCATCATAAGATCCTGGATAATATTAATCATAACAAGACTGCTGAATGACTCAGCCAGAGAATATGACCATCATTCATTTAGATCTTTTACAGTTTGCAACATAAGACTAATAAGAGGCCATTTGGGGAAGTCCCTGTGACTGGCTGGGTTGATTAGCCATTTTGATTCAATTGTCCATCACCAGGAAGACATTCAGTAAACTGCTACCAGTTTACTGAAGGTAAAAACTCCCTTCCCTTTCTATTTTAACCATTTTCAAAGCTTCATTGTATATTCATTATTAGATTTTGACTATGTGGGAGCAAGACTCATTAAAAATACAAATGCTAATAAAGAGATAATTCAGAGAATAATAATGTTTTAACACAATGAAAAACATCCTGACTTCTTACCAGGCTTAATCGCATAGCCAGTCCCTAAATCTTCTCGTCTCATAGTCTGATCTTTCCCTTCTTCATCTTCCTCATCAGAATCCGACTCATCAACCTCGGAGCTCTTTCCTGGTTTCTCTGTAGTACCCTTCGATGTCTCACCCTCCTTAAAACACACAAATTTTACGGTCCTTATTCTTACAGAGGTATTTAATTAGGAAAAACTACTCAAATGTCAGTTCCAGCAGTTTTGGCTTTGGCTAAGTGGAACAAACTACTCCCAAATGGTTTTGAATGCAAATGTTCCTGCAAATATAGTGTGTTCCCAAGCTGCCTCAACGGAAATAGTGTTTGTGACTAATTATACCAGATAGCATTCCTTTTAGAAGAGTTGGGCATTCAAATGTTTGGGATGTCTCTTTATCCTACAAATTTGTGAATATAAATATTAACCCTAAAACCCTGGGGTATGTGAAAAACTGTATTGATATTGACAGGTTCAGGATTAGAACGGTTAGATAACAAATTTGCTTTGATTGTTTCAAACAATATATCAGCTCTAACACAAGTCTTAGTGTAACAATTAGGGTATCTTGAAATGCACTGACCTTAGTTGATTCTACAAAGATAACTTTTCTCTTCTTGTCCTGGTCTACTTTAGTATCAGGAGCCACTCTTCCTTCCTCATTCTCCTGCTGTGTATCCTGTCTATTGCTGTGTAGTTTTTCACTAGGGTGAGGCTGATCTTTTTGTAGCCGTGGAGTATCTCTCAAGTTCTGAGGTACAGCATCAGGTGTGTCTCCTGATTCAGTATGAGAAGTTGTTGGTTTTTTGTCTTGCTGTTGACGTCTTCTTTGTCTGTTTGGATGAAAAGTTAAGGGTTATAAGGACTTTTAAAAGTACAAACAAAATACCTGTTGCTTAACAAAGGCTACATACATGTAGATCAACAACAGCTTAACCTGTTAAAATAACTGCATTCCCAAACAGCTCAATACACCTGAAACAGAGTGATTTGATACAATTCACTACAACCTGGGCCATTTCCAGCAGTGCACCAGAGAATGTGATCCATAATTTGCATATTGTGTTGAATACATTATTGATCTTTTACAATAAAACATTAAGGCCATTGTTCACAGTAAGGGTGTGCAAGATTTGTGTTCAAGTTTCAATGATTTGTACCTTGTAGCATTAGTGAGATCGTTCTTCAGGTCAGCATGGAGAAGGGGGATAGGTGCAAGAACCTCAGGACCACTTCTTTCCTCCCTTCTCCCCTCCATCTGTTCTCGCGTCTCTCTAGCTCTCACAGCTGGATGCTTCTCTTTCTCTTGTCTTTGCCTCTTCTCAAAGGCATTCAGCTCCTCAACAGGAACAAACTGGCTGGATTTGGCATCTGTCTTAAGTTGAAAGAGGGGCAATGGGTGCCTAGGTGGGGGAATGATGGGTGCTGTATATCTTGGCTCCATGTGGAGTAACGGGATAGGTGGAAGACTACTATCACTGTTCTGTGGTTGTTGCTGAGTGCCTGGGTGTAGCATAGATATCAAGTGCCTCACAGGGTTCTCATAAGTCGGGGGAACTAAAGGTGGGATAAAGCTACTGTTTACACCAGGGCCTGTTCGAGCAGTTTTAGGCATGACAGTCTGGGCTGCTCCTCTATTGTTAAACTGGCCAGCATATGGTGCTGTGTTACTCATCTGTTGGTGATGGTACGTAATACCTCGATGCTGTTGGGCATTATCATGTACCCTCTTGTGGGTGCTTGTCAGGGAAGGTCCAACACTCTGTGACACACCAATTCCCTGGGGTGGGGGAGGGTATCTAATCCCTGCACTACCCAAGGCTCCCTGCGCTAGTTTCTCAGGGGGTACTGTAAGTAGCAGTGGAACCTGCAGGGTATATTTCAGTGTTGACGTGTAGTTTGGTGGTGGAATACGATGTTCTTGGTTTGATTGTGTGGCATGAACATTGTTTGAGATGCTATTTTCCACACTTGGCCCAGAATGCATCCCATAAAGGTAGGCATTTGGCATGGAATCACCAACATTACCCTCAAAATCCTTCAAGCTCAGCCGAGACATCACAGATTCATCATCTCCCACTGATGCAGCAATTCTTCTGGCTGATGTATTCTTGAAGTCCTGATGTCTTACATCATTTGGTGTGCTATGATGATCAGGCTTAAAGTCACTCCTATCAAAGTTTCTGACTGGTACATCAGTTGCTGACGGTACTGGTTTAGACTGGTTTAAACCAGCCATGTCCTGCTCTGACTGCACAACATGTACATCAGTTCCTATCCCTATGCTTTTCAAATTTCTCCCCCTTCTGTCTTGTGACACATCAGAAGAAGTCTGCTCTTTGTGTAAAGATGAAGGCACACTCACAACCCCATGCCATGTTTGCATCAGTGGAGATGGTGCCTGAGTCTCTGCATCAATACCTTGGTTAGCAGGTAACTGAGTTGTGGTGCCACACCTTCCAGCACTATCTCTATTCAATGATCCTTCAGTGGTTGGCAGGTGAGGTTCAGGCTGGACTGAATCCGATTCAGTCTGCTGTACTTTGCTTCTAACTCCAAGTGGCTGTGACAAGTCTGAGGAAGCCAGATTTGTATGCAAATCCCTGTTGGCAAGACTCCCAGAGTTTGTCTTGTTTTTCTGCCCAAAATAAAGAAGAACAAGAATTCAAGTTTTCTATAACATGGATCCAAAATGTATGGTGAAATACTGCACACAAGAGTTTCCAAAATGATCAAATAGATAGGAAATTTCACACTGTGCATCTTTCCCACTGCTTCCTCTCCAACCCTTCCCCAAAACAAACACTTTTAACAAAATATGAAATTAATCAGTGCTTAACAGATTAATCTAATAACTATTTTCACTTCCCAATATCTTACATGTACCTCCATCATTCTCATGAATTCTTCCCGGACAATTCTCTTAACGTCTTCATTCTTCATGTCCAGATTCAAAGACTTGGAGCTCTCATCAAGGCTTTTGAGCTGACGCGGCAAGGTGTCATTTTTCCTACCATCTGCTTTGGGAGAGTCTGGCATTCCTTTCTTTGTGTCTATCAGCCAATTTGATGGCTCTTCAACTTCATCTAGAGAACTAATATCCAATGTACTGCTAGAATTGCTGTCAGTGTAGTAAAACACATCATTGGTGATGATGCCTCTTGTTGACACCCTGTTGTCTCTTATAGACTGTGGAGAATGACTCAAATCTCTCATAGCTTTCTTCCTTCTGTCTTCAGATGATTCAGTATCAATTTCCTCTTGTGCATTGATTGCCTGTGATGTTGTCACATTCACTGATGAGTCACTGGCATCTGACAGTTCTGTGGAATTTCTCCTGACTCTCCTTGCAGCTTGCTGTGTCTTCCGTCTTGCTTCCTTGAAGACGTCAGGGCTTTGGGCTCTCAATAAAAACTGAGTAATAAGCTCCTTGTTTGCTGATAAATGTCTTGGTGATGTTCTGCGATGTTCTTCAGTCACCTCTGGAAGCTGCCTCCTCTTTTTTGGCCTAGCACTGATCGTCTCTTGTTTTACTTCATCAAGACTTGGACTCCCAATTTCCTTCATCTTCTTCTCCTTGATGTTTTTTTTGATCCGTTCTTTTTTTTCCAACTTCCTCCTATCATCATCATCATCAGTATCTGTATCAATCTTCGTAATCATTTTCTTTGATGCTCTCTTTGTTTTAGATTTTCTCAATCTCTCAGCACCAGGTTCTTCCTCTGCGACATTTACTTTGTCTCTGTCATTCTTTCGCTGTCCTTTTCTTAAGTTTCCAATATGAGCCTGTTGTACCTTGCCCGATTGAACAAGTGGTTCAAAAGGCAAGGTAACACTCCCTCCCTGTGCTATCGTAACAGTAACAGAGGAATCAGGAACTGATTGTTCCTCAAATAAGTCCAAGTAATACAGGTGATGGATCAACCATAAGCTATTCAACACCAGCTGTTGCGGTAATCGGACTCTCAAAACTGCTTTAGATTCATCCCCATGCTCCTGAGTTTGTGCATAAACAGCCAATTGCCTCTCAGCCCATCTTCCAAACCATTGCAACATCTCAGCTTTGCTTTTGTTTGCCTCACCAAGATTCAACACCACAGAGGAGTACGGTTGTAAGACACCCTCTTTGGATGAAGGAGGTTTTACTTTGTATTTTTGAGAGGGTGAGGTCTTTTCTTTATTTGGATCGACTGAGTTCAGGCTGCTACGACTGCCATGTTTCTGGAGTGAAATCAATTGTGGACTTTCTCCAATGTGATCGGGTTTGTGATGAAACATACTCTTGCTCCTAATGTGCCTGCTCTGATTTTCATCTCTAGCCTCATCTTTGAAGTTATCAGTCAAGGTGTCCTTACTTGCCATCCATGACTTAATCAAGGTAGAGGAATCTAATTCCACTGTAGGAAGCTTGGTGTTAACGGACATCCTTCTAATAACAGACCCAAATTCCTTTTGTCTTAACTCGGAAGAGTATGCTTTGATCAGTGGCAGCTTAGGTTTGCTAGAAAAGGGGGCATTATCTTGAACAATCTTGCCAAATGCCACGAGGAAGAATGTCTCCAAGAAGTCCAGATATCCCGGAGTGCTTTCAAACTCTCTTGAACCAACAATTGGATACTGAGTGCCTTCCTGCTTTGAACCAGTTGCTGTTTTATCTCTCTTGCCATCTGCACTGCCAAGATTCTTCTTTACTGTCACAGAAGCACCTGTTTCCAATTCTCGTACATCTCCTTTGACATCTTGTTGTTCTGCTTCCTTTGGAGGATCTTTCTCAGACAACTCCTCAAACACCTGCAGCTCACACATCCCTATTTCCACCTTCCTGTTACTCACAGTCATATTCCTCAGCTTGCACTGATATCGATAATGACTGTGAAGCGTCTCGTATCTGACAACTCGCTTATTCTCCTTCCCAGCATCGGTAGACATCTTTACCACCTTTCGATCAGATTTTTCCCGTTTTCGTTTCAGTTTCACCATTAGACGCTGGAATTTCTCTTGAAGGAGTGGAGAAAGGTTTTCCATATTACCATGGAAGTGGCGGGCAAGGATAGCTACTGTTTTCTTAGTAGGAGTAAGCTCTGAGACAGCTGTTAGTAGGATGTCTTGGACCTCCTCTTCAAGATTCAGAAAGGATGAGAAAGGATGAAGATTGTCTGCCCACATCAAGATGTCTTCAAGGAGTTCACCATGTTTAGCAACTTCTGCATTATTCTGGGGCTGTCCAAAAAAAAATCATTTAAAAATTGAAAGTAAACTAACTAAAAATAATCAAAATCAAAGTGTAAAATTCTATCCTTGGAGATAATTGTTCTAAGATTGTTTATTCATAATTAAATATCTTTCAAAAGACAGATTTTTCAGGTGTGCCCAAATCACTTAACTGTCTTAAGCTTTTTGGTCCATTTCATTTGTACATATAACTCACAAGATGACACATCAGCTGGATTTCTTTAAATTCAATCACATGGTTGGAAACAAACGTCTTGTATACTGGTATATTTCAACATATCTCACCTTAACATGCAGTGACCGCTCACGACTGGCCTGGTACTTCCGTACAGCTAGAGTGAGTTTATCACGCGAGTGTAACATCCACACAGTACAACATAAGTCACGGAATACTCGAAGTAGCTCAACAGTGCAAGGAGGAAGACTAAGAGAATCAATGCCAGTCTTGAGAAGATCCACAGGGAACCGGGCGTGGTCCACCAAAACACTAGGGATTGGTATTGGGCAAATTTTCTGGAGATAAAAACAAAATATAGATACAGACATCTTGTCAGTAAGTATCTGTTTTCTGTGCCGAGATTCTTCACTAATGAGCTGATTTTAGGGATCATATATATGTACTTCAACTGATGACTATGTCATGAATCAGTGGACAATCCTAAACAAAATGTGAAATCTGTGAACTGGTACTATGGTACACAATAATGTGAAACTGGATGAACTGGATAAAGAAAGCCATGTATGAAATGAACATGCAAAAGCTCGCACTGCCTGAATTATGAAAAAATGAAAGCCAATTCATAATAAATGCTACAGGGCATAAACATTATACATCAACATGTAAAGTACACACACATGTAAATGCACAATTTATGATTTCTACCCAAATTGTACAATGCACGTACATGTAGCTATTTCTACAAAGATCCTAAAAGAAAAGGTCAAAAATTTAAATCCTGCAGCTGCAGCCTGGCATAGGAAAAGTAACTTAAGCTTTGGATCAAAATGGACGATTTAGAAAAAATAATATGGTTCAATTTTCATTTCTAAATATGTTAATTTCTTGATGCTTTTACTCTCACCTTCCTTCTCGCATCAACAGTTAACAGTAAGTCCAACTGTTGGACATACCATCGTGCACAAGGCAAGCTACACTTGGCTGAGTTAAGAACCAGCATGATGAGTTGAATCACATCATTGACTTCACGTCTCAAACTACTCTCATATAACACTTCTTCTGGATCAGAATCCTAAAATAAGTAGGAAAAAAATTCTGAAAAGATACAACATATCAAGATAAAACAAAAGAAAAGTAACATTGACAAATTGGCAGATTGCCAGCACAGGGCAAGAAAGTATGGCACTCTAGAGGTTCCATGTTCCACCACTGTACCTGCCAATTTTCTTTGTTCAACCCAAATTAATTGTTTTTGTTAGCAAAGAATGCTGATGTCTGGATACGATTGGATAGCTCATAATACTGGAATTAGAGACCAAATGTTTCCTGCTTAAAGCCAAATACATACAAAAGGTTTTTTTATAATTAAATATCATACAAGTTTGTGACAGGTGTTGTGAAATCATTTTTCACAGGTTTGACTTCCAAAAATGACAAATCAAGGGAGCAATCGTTTCTCCAACTACTAAAAACTGAGCAATAAGTTCTATTTGCTCAGATTCAAGAATCCTCTTGCTACCATCTGTGACTATATTATACATGTACATGTACTATTATTTGTTTGGACTCCATTACAGTCAATAAAGATTATAAAATTGATCTTTGAATTTAGTGTTTTTTACAAGCAAAGCCTGCATCAGAAATGAAATCAATTCAGGACTTAGTACTTGACCTGATTCATACTCAGTAATACTGAACCTCATTCTATGTCTGCGAATCATCACTGCTGTTTACCACAGATGTAACAACTTTGCCAATTCACTGCCTTTCAATGAACTTAAGGTATAAATTTGTCTGACAGAACAGGAATTTTACAACTTCCTATGACAGATATCCAACCTAGGTGTCCTTCCTTGATATTGATAACTTCTGTGTGCAATGCACTGTGGTGGGTAGTGTATCCTTGTTTGGATGGAAGTGTTGTATAACACAGTAGCAAGTCTAAGTATCTTAGTACCAAACAGGAAGTTATTCCATGGACACTGTGTCGGCTTACGAGCCAGTCATACAATGATTAATAAGAAGTACATGGGTGATATCATATAAATCAGTCATGTTCCAATGAAAACCAGAAGACACGTGTTCGTGTTTATTCATCTCATTTTATTCATTTCCTTTTTAGAATGAGTTTTATACTGTCTGATCGCTTTTCTTTTTTTGAATTCTACATTTTAGCTTTTCGTGTGCCAAGAAAATTATGTACATGTAAAACCTTCAGGATCCTAATTTGGCCACTTTGACAAAGTTCTTATTTCAGTTCGATATTTTGCAGTTAAATGCAATAATTTTCACACTAAACTAGATTCATCGTGCAAAAATGCTTATAAATAATTAGCAAATCCAACAAAAAGCCTAACTAATTTTTAGTATTTTCCACACTATACAAAATCTCCATTGAAGTTAGTGTCACACACCTTTGGTTCATAGTCTGGCTGCGGACAATAGAACGGTGGAGCAGGTAAGTAGAATTCTTCCGGAACCAGAGTGTTGAACCCCGCAACCAATGAGAGACAGCGATCCATCAGGTTGTGTAGCAACCATGGTGTAGGGTCTAAATCAGCAATGGTTGCAGCAGTGAGCATGTCAGTCAGTGAACGACTGAGTTGTTCTTGCATGATTCGATCTTCCTCATTGAGTGAGCCTAATAAGAATATGAAAATCAGAATATTCAAATTCCTTGTAAGATCACAAATGAATAACTCTGTAGCAGTGTTGAAGTCGAGACCATCACAAGACCAGACACCAGACCATACACAAGACCAGTCACTACTCACAAGTATAAACAGGGTGAACAATGACAAAGGAATGCTTTCGTTGCAATTGATTTGAATTGTTTGTGACATGAATTCAGACTGGAGGTCTTTTTTGGTCTTGCGTGATCTTGTGAAGGTCTTCAGCGGTCTGGACTACAACAATGCAGTCTTGTAACTGTCAACATTATGTCCATGTATCAATTTTATTCCATA